AGTGTGTGACTCTTGATTATTGTTTTTTAAATTTTTTAAACAAAGATGAATTTTGATAATATAAAATCAAATTTTAATTTATTTTGTAAGAAAAATTTATAATTAAACAATATAAATTGAAATTATTTTGATTTAAATACACTAGTGGAAAAAATTAAGGGATCAAAAAATAATCTCGATTTTTTCGAGTGGCTGTATCTTTGGTAAAAATGGTCGTATGTGAATGAAAAAAAAAAGCAATTTGAAGCTTGAAGTGTCTAGTTTATGGAGCTTGCGATAAAACAATTTTCCAATCAAGAATTAGCACAAAATCCTGATGAATATCATGAATAGAAAAAATTTCTTCAAAAATTCACTTGTATGAAACAACTTGATAGAACAGGTTGAAATTTTGTAGGGCTTTCGGGGGAACAATGGCCTGTAAGTTGCACACTCAACATTATTAATTTTTCCAATATTCTCAATGTGGCACGTGATTTTCTAAAAAACCTCAAAAAGACCTATTTTCCGAAATTCTTCAAAGTCATGCTAGAGTTGAAAAAATATTTTTCTCGTGAAAGAACATACCAGAACCTTGTCGAGAAAGAATCGAAGTTTCCGAAACCCCCTTCCATTTTTTGAGCGGCCATTGGTTCCTGAGATATTGACGAGAGAAGAGGAAATGACGCATTTTCGTTCTTTTTCTGATAACTCAGCAAGGAAAGGCCATCTTGAGGCCATCAAAAAACGAATTGACGCTAACTGAACCGCCTATTCAATGCATATAATGGTTACGTCGAGAAAATTTTTTTCAAGTCCGTACGCTAAAAATTAAAAAAAAAAATCTATCCATGATATTCATCAGGATTTTGTACTAATTGTTGGTTGGAAATTTTTTTTATCACAAGCTCCATAAACTAGACTCTTCAAGCTTCAAATTGCTTTTTTTTTCATTCCCGTACGACCATTTTTTCCAAAGATACAGCCACTCGAAAAATCGCAAAAATCGAGATTTTTTTTGATCCCTTAATTTTTTCCACTAGTGTATTTTTTTGAAAAACCTGCCCGGTTAATATTTCGGTTGAATATATCATTCGCATGTTGATTATTTAGACACTTTAGTGTAATACGAGTATTGAATTTTTCAAATTCTGTATTATAATATAATTAATAGAACGTCTGAAATTGTCCAATTAAACTCATACATATAAATATTAAAACCATTTTTTTAACTGAACTTTATACAGTGTACACTACATCAATTTATTAAAGTATTACTCCTGTACATTCGTATATAAACAATTTGAAACTTTATTAAAAGATATTGGTAGTAAAGTTAATTTAAAATAATGTGTAGGTACATATAATCATTATTAATTTTATCACAGATTTCCAATATATAAAATTTAACAAACACCTCTTTAAGGGCCATTTACACAGCTAGTCGTTAAAAAATAAGCGCAGCTTAAATGGACATTGATGGGAAAATGTCATCAATGTTATCGACCAGCGGTGTAAATGGACCTAAGTTATATGTACGGGATAGACCTGTTTCAATTGGTTTTTATAGAATGTTTCCATAAAACGTGCAATATTCTATACGTCATATACAGTTTTGGATAAAATTGGCGGAATTCCAAATTACTGGCTTACAAAAATTGCTATAAGTCGATTTAATTTTTTAGATGCACAATTTTTTGATGTACTTATATTTTTGGCAACATTCTTTTTTGATAGTCCCAATTAAAAGAAAATTTATCTCTAAAATATTTTTATGTAACATATCACGAAATTTGGCAACTCTATGCAAAAAAATGTGCTCTTTTAATTGGCTACTGCAGGGTGAAAAGGGTAAGGTAAGTTAGGGTAATTGTAAAAATGGGGCAAATATGTTAGATCAATAGTTCTCCTACTTCATTAACCGAAAACCGTCCGCTTCCTCCTTAAATGAAAGTCTCCATTTCCTAGTTTACGCTTAAATCAAACAAGCGCGTCAAAATCCGCTTCATGGTCGACATGGTCAGTTGTCCAATATAGCGAAAAATATTTTTGTTGAAAAATCCATCAAATGTCATTATCTTTACATGTTGATAGTAGAAACGGCACATATTCAGGCATCTACGACGTTTTTATTCACGCTGAAAGATGTGGCCTTCGATAGTTTTATTTAAGAAACGTCGGTTGTCCGGGACATATGACCTTACTATAATAAACGCGTCAAAAGTGCCCCCACTTTGATAAGAACAAACGGTTAGAAGGTGGCAACGGTAGAAGGAGATGGGACAATGTTGATAGTTTGTTTTTTTATCTATTTCGTTGATTTCTTAGTAGACAACAGGTTGTTGAGTTGTAAACGTGCTTTAAATAATATTCATTCGGTGTATTTAAGAAAAAATGAATGATCCAGAAAATCAACAAAAAAAAAGGAGTGAGAAATGCGAACAGTTACAAATGGGTAAGAATCAAGAAAGCTAGACTGGAAGGTGCTTCGTATGTAAACAGTGTTGGTAACGAAGTTCCAGCTCGCCATTATGGAGGTGATTGCAGGTAATATACGATTTATTTTGTTCTCTAGTTATAATAGAAAAAACTAATAATCTTGTTAAATTTTAATATGAACCTGTGGAATCTAATCACTTATTAGTTTTTTCTATTTGTTCCAGATGTCGTTGGAAATGCACTGAAAAATTCACAGATGATCAAAAGACATCTCTCATCGAAAATTTCTCCAAACTATCGAGTAAAGATGCTCAGGATGTCTACCTGCAAAGCAGAGTCAAATTGGAGCCTGTGAAGCGCCAGAGATCAGCTGTATTCCTCTATTATGTAAACGAAAAAAAGGTTTGCAAAAAAGCTTTTATCAGTTTATTCGGCATAACAGAGAAAAGACTCCGACGTCTGACTTCACTGCTGCAGCAGGGGAATATCCCAAAAGATATGAGAGGTCAACAAGACAATCGATATAAGATGCCCGAATCAGACTGCCAAGAAATCAGGGCGCATATAAATAAATTCCCCACAAAAACTGCACGCTACTCAAACTCGGAGGTCAAGTATCTAAGTGCAGAGCTCACTATAAAAGCAATGTATGAGCTGTTTAAAGAAGAGCACCCAGACTTCCTACTTTTATTACCAAAAGTTTTTCAGACAGCACTTTGACTTGAGGTTTGGAAGGCCTCAAAAAGACACCTGTTCAAAATGTGAAGAGCTGATAACAAAAAAGAACAGTAACGAACTCAACCCACATGCCAAGAGGGTGGCTGAGGCTGAATTAGAGGTACATAAAAGGAGATCAAGAAAGTTTTACTCCAAAATGAAATCTATGGAATCTCTGGGTAGGGATATCTATGGATTTTATGCAAAATCTTCCCCTTCCTCACATCCCCGTACAAGAGGTGTTCTATTATCGGCAACTCTGGGTTAACGTCTTTAATATTCATAATATCAGCGCTGGTAACTCAATGTATTACGTTTATCATGAAGGCCAAGCCAAAAAAGGTCCAGACAAAGTATGTACAATGCTTGTTCAAAACGAGCTACCTCCCCAAGTGCGACACCTTCATCTTTTCTCCGATGCATGTGGTGGCCAGAATCGGAACCACACTTTACTGAGATTCTTGTGTGCATTGGTTCAAACAAAAAGGTTTGAGACTATCAACTACTACACGCCCATCCGTGGTCATTCTTTCATGCCAAATGACAGAAATTTTGGCGCCCTGAAGAGACGAATAAAACGTATACGTTCCCAAGCAATACGTTAAACAAATCGCAAATGCAACCAAGACACCAAAAAAGGCTATGGTAACAATGGTTTCCACAGAGGATATTAAAGATTATAAACAATGGTGGCCACTGCATTACAGGAAGAAAACACTATCAGATGAAACAAAAGGGAGACATGTTCCTAAGGAAAACAAAGTTTCATTTTTAATCTCGAAGTATCACCATTTTCGTATGTCTGCTGGTGCCCCAGGAGTAATAAAATGTTGGGGCTTTATCGATGGTCTTGACAATCACACTTTCAGTCTAGGGAAGCATGGAGCTGTTGAATTGCCGAATGAGCCAGCTTATAATGGCAAGGTGCCACTTAATGTGGAAAAAAAACGGGACATCGAGAAATTGATCAAGTATATACCTTCCCAATACCTAGATTTTTACGAGGATCTACGCAGCTGACCTACTACCACTGAAGAAGATGAAGGTTAATGATTATACACTTGAGTTCAACATATAAAATACATGTTTAAAGTAATTTGCACATTTTATTTTTGAAATCCTTCATGTTTATTGTAGAAACGTCATTTGTCCAAAAAAAATTATGGGCAACCCTGTAGTCATATAAAAATGTTTTTCTATTCCAAGCTTACTAAAACATTTCTAATACATATATGTATGCATCTGATTTGTTTTGAAATTTTTCTTTAAGCTTTTTTGGAAATGATACTGTTTTTTTGAGTTTACCAAAACTAGTGTTTTGTGACAAATGACTTTCCTAAAATAACACATTCAATTTGTATGTGTGCAGAAAACGGTATAATACATCGACATTTAATAAGCTGAAGAATACCAACTGACATGATGCGTAGAAATAACCAACGTTACAACAGCTTGTTCTTAAAAATTTTGGTTTCGATTTATACCCTTTTCACCCTGCAGTAATATATCAAATAGTGATAACGGTCGTAAAAATATACGTAAATCAAAAATTAGTGGCTCAAATCCTGTATAGCCGAAAATAGAAAAATACTTCAACAAATTAACTACCTCATCTCCTTACACTTTTTCATAAATACAAAAAAAGGTATAAAAACATTTACTAAAAAATAAACATTTAAAAAAATCAACAATGGAATCTAAAGCTTGAAGTACATACTGTTTTTCTTTTTTTTTTATCTAATGCAGAGGCCCTATAGATAGTCTTGTAAAATACAAAATAAATATAAAATTCTTAAAGACATTTTATGTAATACTTTGTAAATTAGGGGAATTTTTTCAGGAGGCCCTGCCGGCAACAGTTATTGTTATGGATTGTTCATTTCCCTGCAGTAGGAATGATCGGAAGATATTTCCCTGACATTGTTTTGCATCATATAACCTAGTATAAAACCGATTAGTAAAACTAAAAATAAGGTCACTAGTTGAATATACTGAGTTACTTTTACAGCATTTCTAAGGTCGCTTTGTGCATTTTTAATTTCGGATATAGACGAAGACAATTTATTAAATACATTTTGGTCATGTTCGCTTGCATTTGCATTGGATACTGTAACGTTTCCGTTTTTCGTAATCTCTCCACTTTGAATACACTTAAGGCGGTGCTGATATACTTTTCTGCCACTTGTATTCTGTAAGAAAAAAGTTAGTAAGTAATTTAAAGTTTTTCAAGAGCTGGAAAAAATTATTTTTTGGTAATTACTTAATAAAAATTAATCTTGAAACATTTGAGATTTAATTTAACACCATACAGGGTGTCCCAATGAAAAGTAGCCCGTTTCCATTTGATAAAATTTGGTTACGGTGAATATAAAAGAGGAGATTTTTAAAAAACACCCTGTATAGGTAATACATAATTTTTGGGTCACTGAAGCAAAACTTATAGCAAAATAACACATATCAGCAAAAACCTCACGTGTCTACGATTTGTTTTAAAGTTATAAGCTCTGGAAATGGGCTACTTTTCATTGGGACGGAATGTCGTTTCCATTTTCACTATTTTACTACGTATTCTATCGTAACCACCATTATGTTATACTAGTTATTTTGACACATATTTGCTGATTCCATTAGAGACTGGAATTGAGAACCTTTCTATGTCTTGCTGATGAGTCCTAATAAGGTCGGTTTCCTTAGTAAGCAAAATCAAAGGTAGAGTGTGAAATAAAATTTCTATATCTGCCGTCTTTCCTTTGGATATAACCCAAGTAACATTTTTAGATTTTTTTTACACTACCCAACAGATAAATCCAATTACAGGGTAGGAAAACTTACAGATTATAAAAATACAAATATGAACAAATGGTAACTATACAAAAAAAAATGAAAATATTAAAAAATAAGTACATAATATAAAGGGTGTCCAAATTTGACATTCCGATTTAAATTGAGCACAATTTTTGGCAATCTTCATTGACAGTATTTCTGTTGTGACATATGTCAAGTAAAAACTTTGCGGTTACTTGTTTTTTGGTCAACATGGAACAAACCCCGTTTATATTGTGAAAACTTATTACCAAAATGGGAAATGTTTTGCTGAAACTACCAGAAGATGTATAAATTTTGGAAGAAATTTAGTTGTTAAAGTTATTGAGAGTTTTCAGAGGGGTCACATGCAGGATATCATTTTTCATTATTAACCATAACATTTAAACTTTAAAATAATTTCATAGAAGTGACTATATTTAACCGCCAATATAAATCCTATTGTAGATTTGTCTTTGCATGAATACTTGTCATCGTCAGAAAACCATTTTCAATTGCACATACTACCTGCTGGACTATCAGAAACAACCTTTGTGTTTAATCATAAATTACTTTAGGCGAGGCAAGAGTTGTATAACATTATATCATAGCATATTCCAATATAAATTACATTTATATACCTTAAAAGCAATTAGGTGTAGATATATTTGACAAATTTGATATTATGTGGTTAAACGCAGTAAACGAAATCATAAATAATAAATCTACTGTCATTGGCACAATGTTGTCATTTACACACTATCACTGTCTTTGGTACATAAAATACGTCATTACTAAAATCGAAAGATTTTAGAATTATTTGAACTTTGACCATAATTTATTTGAATATCCTTTAGGTACAGGTCTGGTAGACAGGTACTATTTTAATGATATGTGGTTAAACAGCCACTGCCATATTTAAAATGGAGAATTTCCTCATTGTGTTCTATCTGTACCTAAAAACGGACATTAGCTTATAAAACTAATAAAGCAAAAAAAATACTTTTTAGAACTTTCCCGTTTTTAAAAGCTCCTGCTACACTTTTTAAAGCTTTTCATAAAACAATAGTAAAAACGAAAACCTCAATAAAACATTCATAAGTTCAATCAGACGGGCATAACCTAACCTCATTCTTGAGCTTCTTATTTATTCTACAAACAAGTCATTCAAAATATAAAAATTATTAATAATATATTAATCATTTTTCTCTTTCATTGATCATTTCCAGAATATTAGGAGCCTAGGAATGTTTTGATATTTGTTAAACAATGGAACACAATGAACTTATTAAACACTGAGGAAAAGGAGAAACATATACATTTTTTTTTCATTCTCTATTGGAAATTACCACTTTTCTTTATTTTGAACAATTTATCTTTCAACGTCAACATAATGTGATTGGGTTGAAAAGCTAGGTTATGCTCTAAAACAAACTTTAGTTCTTATTAAAATTATGTAGTTTACTAGATTAAATAAATTATAAGAGTTATGTTGTAAAATTGTAGAAAAAGTACCTAAAAGGTTCTGGGATCAATTTAATTTAAAGTATAATCCTAAAACACTTTTTAAAACTAAGTTTTAAAACCTACTTAAGATGAATACTAAAAAGTATGCCTCTCTAACACCAAACATACCTTAGGAGTATCTTAAAACTAAATAGTTCTAAAATTACTTATTAATTAACCCTTACAGGACAGCGATAAAGCATAGTTTACTTTAGGATAAACTAGTTTTTTTAAACAGGTTTAAGGGAATCTATTTAACCAAGTAATAAGATCAATTTATCCTGCATTCCTATTGGCAAAAAAACCTGTTATAAAATAATTATTAATTTTTATGCGTTTACAAAATCTTAATAAAATATAAATAAAACCTTGTTTCTCCTAAAAATGTTACTTGGGAATTCAATGCCTGTTGTGGTATTAGCCATAGGAATAATTGTTTACCGAAGGTAAACGGTCGCTCGTATTTTGTTTGACATGGCTTTTTAAATTTATTTTATATTACGTGTTAGTCATATTGGAGTTGGAATTATTTTCCATTTTTTTATTATTTTCACTTATCATTTAAAATGAATACTTACTCTAAAAAATCTTTTATTGGACGTTCCAAAATTTTGAAATAATGTATTTGACATTTAAGAGTGGCAGCAATATAGAAAAAATTATCTGTATAGAAAAATTATCAGGCATATAGAGAAATCAGTATCCTTGATTCAGTGAATAAAATAAGGTGCATAAGAAAAGTATTGCATTTTAAAAAATATTGATATTTAAGGCACTAAAGTTTTAAACAAAAAACTCTGATAATCGAAGTCTAAAAAAATCAAAACCGCCAGTCGATCACAGCTTTAGTTCTAGAATAATCGTGTCGGTGTACATACGTACAGACGAATTTGTTTTGAATTTTCGGATTTAGGAAGATTGGAAACGTGGAGAAAAGTTTCAAAAAATGGAGGTAAGATTTTTTCATCGACAAAAGGAGTGAAAAATGGCAATAACACGATTTCCAGCGAAAGTTGACGTCAAAAACAAACATTTATAATGCAAAAGTTGTAGATCAACAAAAATCTACAGCTTTTGTAGATGTCGTTTTTTAACGTTACCTCATAATTTTCGATAAAAATGTAAAAGTTCTTTAGAATTTCTTTTTTTTTTTATTTTTTCGTTTTCTATTTTTCATTTCTCCAAAAATAATTTAATTTTGATGAAATTTTTGTGAAATTATACCTTTGTATGTCTTAAATAAGCACATTTTTTTTAAAAAGAAAATACAAAAGATTTCGAGATACTAATTTTTTTCGGTACAAAAACTTTTTTTAAATAAATTCTATGATGAAAATTATTGCAAAAGGTTCTTCAGAAGAGAAAATAAATCAACAAAACTAATAAAACTAATAAAAAGCAGCAAATCATTAAAAAAAATTATTGGCGAGTGTTCAGCACAAAAAGGAATTAAATAATAATTTTACACATTTGAGGGATGACATTATAAAAACATCTTCTAAAATATTCTGTACGAAACATAGGTGAGTAAGTGTTCCCCTATACCTAATATTAATATTATGCACATCCGTTCGAAATATTATTTTTCTGTGCAGATAAGATGGTCTTTTGCTTGAGATGATTTGAAAATAAAGATTTGCAGAGTGAGAGAACCTTCTATTTTTCATATTAAGCCATCCTACTTCTCTCAATTTATAGGATATTCTTTGACGTCTTCTTATTCCATAAATTAATCTTAAACATGAATTTTGGATTGATAGTAGTTTGTTAAATTTGGACCATAAACTGTTTCTGAATAATTAAATGTAGATAACAGAAGTGTCTCACAAAGAAGTAATTTAATAGAACATTTTCAAATTAGGTTATTCACATGTTTTTCAAATCTTAGATTCGGATCTAATATTACTCCCAAGCTTTTAGCTTCTTCGTTTATTTGAATAAGTTGATCATTCACTACGATACTAATATCTTCAGCAACTGTATCTCTCTTTAGTTTAGGACCAAAAATCAGTACATTTGACTTAGATGAATTAATAAGAAGACATAATCACTTGCACCATTTATAAAACAGTTTAGATCATTATTGATGATGTTAGAAGCATTTTGCACCTCATTTGGATGAAAACTATAATATACTTGGGTATCATCAGCATAAAAATGAGCCTTACAATTTTTTAATTTTTTTTACTAATATATATATAATATAGCAAATAGTGTGGTACCCAAAATTGATCCTTGAGGTTCGCCGCATTTTATAGAGAGAAAGCCTGAAATTTACCTTTAATAGAAACTTTCTGGTTACGATTCGAAAAATATTTACGAAATAACGTAACTGATGAAGGTGATAAGCCAATTTGATGCAAAATACTTAGTAAAAGTTCATGATTTATAGTATCAAAGGCCCTACTAAAATCTAACAAAACTAAAGCTGTACACTGACCCAAATCAGTAGCTCCAATTATATCATCCACCACATGAAGTAATGCCGTTGTACAACTATACCCCTTCCTAAATCCATATTGAATATCAGGTAATATTTTTAACTTTTCAATATATTCTGTCAGCTACACTTTTACAGCCCGCTCAAAAATCTTGGATAAAACTGGTAAAATACTTATAGGACGTAGATCTTCATACTCAACTGGATTTGACTTTTTTGGCAACACTTTCACAACGGCATTACCTCATGAGGTTGGAAAAGCTTTATTTGTTAAACAATGATTAACAATATGAGTAACATATTCAGTAATATGAGGACAACACATTTTAATAAGTTTTATACTTAAATTATTACATCCTATAGCATTTGATTTAATTTTAGAAATAGTTTCATAAACTGAAGTTTTTCAAGCATTTTTATACTGGTCTAGTAAAAGTTGAG